TAGAAAACTTGTAAAAAATTTTATTTTTTTTCATTTAAAAAACTGTTTTTATAATTTTTTATCAAAATTATATTTTTTCAGATGTATAAATTAAATGTAAATTAGTTATATTAATCTGTATTTTGCGATTAAATTATAGCAATAGATCTATGCGAGATTTAGTGAGATGAAGAACTGCTGACATTTTACTTGTTCTAGTAAATTTAAATAAAAAAATTGTAATAAAAATGTGTAATTTTACTCTGAGCTTGGAACAAGTTGGTGTTATTTAACATATAGTACTTTTTTACCATCGTTTTATTAAATTGCCAAACAATTATTTTATGCTGTAATGAAAAATCAGGCGGACGAGTTTGTTAAATGATTGATTTATAAAGATATTGCTGTCTTGTTTGCCATATAGCGACTGTAATCCTTTTCAATAATGATTGTTTATAGACTTTTAATGGAGCTTGCTGTTTAAAAAAAATTCCTTATAACTTAGACACGAAATATATAATGTAAGTAAAACAGCAAACTAAAAATAGTAGAAATTGTATTAATCAATAATTTTATATCTTATTTATTATATGGTATTTCTCGTTAAATCTCGTGTACAGTTTTACTTTGTGTTTTATTGCATTTTAAAATATTTATAAATTTAAAATAATGCTGAACACAAATTAATTAAAATTAGGAATATTAAATAATCTAGAGCAATTATAAATTTATAGATTAAAATTGTAGCTTAGGAATCTGTTAAATATATTATAAACTACTTATTTTATTCATATTTACTAGAAGACTATTTGTAAAACAAGTTCTTATAAATAGAATATTAATAATTATCTCGATAACTTCTAAAAGTTGAAGATAGGAAATAACTTTTATTAACAATTTAAGATTCGTTAAAGTTGTAATTTGTAGATTCCTGTGCTTACAGATCATTACGTGAAAAGTAGTAGAAAATATCTTAATTAAATAGGATAAAATGACTCTCTCTAGTGAAGTAGTTTGAACAGTAGCTTAATTAATACTCTGTATTATCTTAAATCGCCTCTTGTGAACTGTATTTTCTGTGTATTTGTTGTCGACTAAACTTCACACTATTCTCAATACTAAAATCCAATTTAATTTAATCCAAAACTTATCACGCTCTATTAATTTTAAGACGATTATTTTTAACAATTTCAAATGAGATTTTGATTTTTGTATATTCGTTTTTTACATGTACAGTATAAATATCAAATATAAAAATTCTAATGTCATCTCTATACAACTTTCTTTCCATAATGCACATTATAAAAACGTCGAATAGTTATCATAAAACTGATTTTATGAACTTTTAGAACATTTTAAAGATTCTTACACTTTTTTTTAATAATAAATAAATGTTTATTTAAATCTTTCTAAAATTATTATATTGATGAATAAACCAGAATAGTCGTTGATATTTATAAACAATGAACATTATAGCAAAAGCGTAATTTTGTATTAAGAAAAATGTTCTTCAATCGGAAATCTTGAAGTAGAATTTTTATAAAATAGCGAGTTGCCGCTCGACGTTCCAAACGCCATTGTTAAACTTCTAGGCTTACAGGAAGGCGGCGCTGAACATCCGACTTACACGTTTGGCGTTGAAACTTCGGCCGCAACCTCGCTAATATAATTATTTTTTGATATACGTCACATGATAGAAGGTTTAAGTAGTATTTCTACGGTGGATGTTACTGTGTTTTCCAGATATATTGGAAATTATCAATTGGAAAAATACATTATGTCATTGAGTTGACCATCGATCCGAGTGATTAAAACCATTGAATACTGGTAGTTGGTCACGAGTTTTCATCTTACCAACTGGTTGATCACGTGGAGATTTCCAGGTTGTCTTCACACATCTAACACCTAAATAAGGGACAGTTTCTCATTGAAAATAATCCCGGAGTCACTCCCTTGATAGATTGTCTAAGTGTTGTGTTGTCAAGATCAATCCGATTCATTATGTTGAATGGTTTCAGATATAGGGCTTAAAGAAAGTATAATGAATTATTAAAAGACGTAGAATTTTATGACTTAAAACATTACAATCTGAGCGTTCAGCCATTTATTTTACTTTTTCAAAATAAACGGTTAATTAAGCGATGGAAACTATGGATTTTTATGGATTTTTATTACATTTAAATATTGTTAAACATATCTAGTTGAATTACTGTGTAATTAGTAAAATAACATTAAATGATCATAAAAATTACAATGACTTAAACGCAATACTTAATTACGTAAAAACAGCTTCTCTATTAAGTAGAAACTCTATCCTGAAAAGATCCTCACGTGATCAGATGATAACATTGCAAACGACCGTTATTATCATATCACGTTACTTTCATACTCAAGCTTGCGTATAGACTTTACTGATATCCTTTTTGTTCTTTGGACACTGAAAGGGCCTTTTTCAGACCTATCATCTGTTTGGCCAAGCTCACTCACACCATAGGACGAGTGAGGAACGGAACCCGATATACTCGAGTCAGACCACCCCCTAAAATATTCCTGGGTGTTTCCCGGCTCTCTCAGAGAGGTAGACGGACACCTTAACCATCCGGCCGGCAATTCCTATTGAAGTATTTCAATTTAACGCCACCCTCGATTTAGTGCCAATACCATAAGCGAACAAATGATGAATGTTTATCTCTGTTTTCTTCTTTACAATTTAATTTTATATAATTTTAATAATTTAATTTATTAATTATGGGAAAATAGTATATACTCATTCATTCATTCACAGTAAAAAATGAACAAGTATATTATTTTTTTAAATTCTAGACTTGTGTAAAAAGTAAAATTTTAATATTTAATCTAAGTTTATGCATGTTGGAAATACCTTATTTATTTTATATATGTGTATATATTCCCATAACAGAAACTTTTGTAAGAGGAAAATATATTTGAAGGGTTGTTCACGTTCATAAAAAGCGAAAATTATTCTTAAGGGACTAGTGCAACTTCCACTGACGAGTACTTAAAGGAATAGCGCTAAAACTATAAAAGTTCCTTCAAACTCAGACCATTTAAATCATTAAATTTACCATGTATAATTAATTAAAACATTTTAAATATATAATGAAATAATTTACTAAATTTATAATAATAATCCGGAGTGATTAATAATTGTCATCACATCAACTCTTCGGTTTACTTTATATTTCTTGCGTAATGTAATTATCTATCCGAAATTGTAGAATTTATTCATAGTTTCGTTTAATTATTTATTAATTATTAACAAATTTATTACTCAAATTATTTATTTTTCAAGAACTGTAAGAGTTTCTCCTGGTAATGTACATTCATTAATTTTAGAGATAATTATATAGTCTTAAGTGGATGAAATAGCAACAAAGACGACGAAATACAGAAGATTTTTCTGTTTATTTTTCATAGTTTTTCTTCGATAAATGATACAATGTATCATTTTATATCGGAATAAGTCTATAACAAGAGATATTTATCTCGTCTGTTGACTTAAACGAATTTCGTCTCCATTGTGTTCTTGTAATCCCTTCACAGTCGGGTTTAATCACAATATGTTTACCATATTTCCTTTCCTTCTCCGTTTATCAGCGAATTTAAACTTAATAACTTTTATGATGAGCTTCGTACTGTAAAAGTCGAACGTTCATTTCGTAGAAACCATTAAAAATTTATTACATTCTCTCGGTTATTATGTTAAATCTTTTAAGTTATATTTTTATAATGATCAATAGATGGAGCCACAACTAGTTTTTATAATATGAAATTGAATTTTGTTGGTTAATTAAATAAAATTGAGAATTTAAAAAATTAAAATTCATTTTTTAAGTGTTTATTTTCAATTTTTAATGTTTTTGCGTGTTTTGGATGATGCTACTGGTCTTTAAGTTATTTATTTTTTTTAATAAATTGCTAATTATAATAAAAAATAGAAAAAGTCATATGTATCTTTAATAAACTGTGGCAATTTTTAAAATACTTAAAAGATTTGTTTAAATTATACCTTATTTGGTTTAACCCTTTCTTAAGCATACTTTTGTTCGAATGATGTTTATAGTACTTGCGATTATTTGCTATAAATGTCGATTAATCCGCTAAATTTCAGTGGAAACGATGTAAAAATAATTGATTTTTGTATGGATACGCATTTATAGTTGAAAGTTTATTTCCAACAATATATTTATATATTGAACGAACATTATATCCCAGTTGGGAAAAATTTAACAAACGGGCAACTTAGCCCTTAGAGATCGATGTTTTTTTAAGTTCAAACTTTAAATTTCCAATTCTAGTTGGAATTTCTTTATATAGAATAGATTTTCTGGTCGATGACACAGCTAAGAATTCCAATATAACAGTTTGCAACTTTTTGTTGTGTGTATATATATGTAACTTGTATTTTCCTAAAGTTTAATAAGTTTGGAATGCGAATTAATTCGGAGAAATGCTCAAAATTCGACACTATTCGATATAAGGATAGTTTTTGTTATAGTTTGAAGAAGTAGAAATTTCTATTTAAAAAATTTCAATAATATTTTAACGTGAATTTCATTAGTTGAGTGATGAAAAATGGAAAACGTGTCGAACACTTATTCGTCTGGGTTGGTCGATTGTTATTAATGAGAAATCATCCCGCTAATCGTTTCATTAATAGCTTTAACAACCATTAATAACTTATATTTATGGCAAAAACACTTAATTAATCTGCAATGATTTCGTTCTTTAACCCATATGCCATAAGAAAAATCAATGTCCCAGTTCATCCAACTTTCATACTGCCAGGACAGCACCGCAGGGCGTAGCACTTTCAGCTAACGGAAAGCATTAGTAATGCACAATAACCATACTTCCTACATCCATTAACTTGGTATTATACTCTTTTTTTTTCTTTTCGGAGCCTTATTGTTTACACGAATGCAAAATGAAAGCAATACTTAATTAAACTGGATACTTTTACTTTTTTTATTTATTGAAGAGCCATCTGCGTGAGGGCGCAATGTGTCTGTATTATTGCCACGTGATTCAATCAGCGTAATAATGTTCATCGAACAGTTTTGTTGCGTTAAAGCTAAGAAATGATTCGATGGTCACGCGTGGTGAGACCCTCTCGTTCTCCTAGTAAATCTGTCGAAAGGATTATAGGACTTCCGCCAGTTGAAACTCATCATGGTATGTGAAACTTGTTTTATCACTTGCGAATATAAATGCTAACGCTGTCACATTATGCACCAAGTGTACGAAATATGATAAGTGTTTAGTAATACCATTAAATAGGACACAGACTGCATTTTTGCAGAGGAAATTCAAGCTTATTTTCTTCTATCTTTTCGTTATAGTTTCTAAAACTGATGCACTGATGTTCCTGCTACAATGGTTGCATATGTAAATGTTTCGTTTTAATACATAAAAATACGCTTAGTATATTCTCCATTTTTATTGTTAAATTATTACTATGCTTTTATATTATTGTTCTAATATCTTACTAAGCCGGAAGCTATATAACGTGCTATGATTTTGAAGGGTGATTTTATAGTTAAAACAATTCTTATCTATAGTACAATGTGTGCCATTTCAATACGCCCTATTGTCTTAATTTTGTGACAATGATCCATTCACAGCAATAACTGAATTGTTATTGAATTATTAGCTATTACGGTTACAATTTAATAATTAATAGTGTTAAATTTATGTTCAGTTAGCATTAAAAGTTGTGCATCTATAATATTTTTTTACAGTTTTCTGGAGTATTCATGATTGAAAAGAGTTAGTTTTGGAGAAAGAGTCTGAAGAAAATTTCAATGCTTTCTTCTAATCGCACAGAATACTAATGATCATGTAATTCTTTGGGATCCTTTAAATGTTAAGGTCATATATGAAAGGATTTTAAAGTATTTATAACTGTCAATTCGTCGAGGTGACGTATAGCACGTGCTCTTCACTGATGCTTCCTATTTATTTATAGGAGACACTAAGATACGGTGTTAAAACAACTTCGAATACCTAATTTAAAATTAGTTTATTAGGCGATTTAAATTTATTTATTGCTAAATATTGACATTTCGTAAAAAATAACTTTAAATAAATCCTGTACAAAAACAATATTTTATAAAATTATTAGCTGAATTACGTAATTCTTTCTTAAATCGCACGAAGACGTAAAGCTTATTTTTAATAAATCATTTTTATAATGAATTTTATAGCATTTAAAAATTATTCTTCCCTGAAATATCGTTTATATACTGCACACCTTAATATATATAAAAACTTTAAATATTTGTAAGTGCCTGTTTATAATATAGATTTAGCTTTATACTTTGTTTTATAACAGTTTAAATTTACATATGTACACAACGAGTTTTTTGTTTAAAATATTTATTTAATTTAATATACAGTATATATATGAGTAAATAAGTTATAAGCAAAAATTAATAGAAAGTCATATATATAATTTAAGTTATATAAAATATAAAAGATAATAAGCATATTGTTGTTCTAGTTATTATAACAAATCGATTTTTCAAAAGTCAGAAATTTAAAATTATATTTTTCAAGATCTTGGAACGGTTTAAGTGTCAATGAACGTAAGATTGATTCAAATTTCCTGCACGTTACACACCCATTCTTCGAAATCGTAATTCTACTTTCACGTTATCGAGTAAAGCCACATTTGAATACTAAATGCATATAAATTAAACATAATTAAATTCCTTAATATAAATTTAACAAGCAATAGTTTCATCATACAAGGAACAATTACTATGATAATTCGATTTGTTTTACTATTGAACAGCTTGAAAAATATAAGATATTTATCAAACTCACGACTTTCTTCAACAAAATAAAATAAAATATGGCATTCAAAATGAAGAAATAATTCTAAATTGTACAAAAGATTATAGACTAATAATACAAATAAGCAGAGCGATTCATCTTAGAATATGTAACTTTTTCTAAAGTATTCATTATTTTAAATCTTACATTAAACTTTCATCTTTGAATGAATGGAAAATTTTAACGATAAATAAAATTTTATTGATGTTATGAAACTTTAATAACATCTATCTCGTGTGAGATATTTAAATATAACTGTAAACATAACGTTATATTGATTACACAATACTTTATACTTGAAAACAAATAGAAAGTTTGTTTATATTTACTTATAATTAATGATGTTACAGCTACACCTTCTAATTTTTGAATAGAATCTACATAGAAAATCGATGAAAGAACAAAACTAATGCTTTCCCCCTCTATACCTCTGGCATCTCAGTTATTTTTTCATAGACGTTTGATTGATCTTTTCGTCTCGTCATCGACCTTATCTTTCTATCCTACTTCTTTATCTGATAATGCAACTAACTTATATCATGTAAATTTTATTAATAAAATTCTTTCATCTATTGAAACAAAAAATAAATAAAATCTGGTTTATTAATTTTTTTATATTTTTAATCTATATAAAGAATTTCCGAAAAATGTTAACAATCTTTCATAATATTAAACTATTATAGAATAAAACTATTATAGAACGTAGTTTTATTGGTAGTCGTCCTAATGATGTCTGGTATTCAACAAAAGAATTATTTTCTAAACTCGTACATTATTATTTAGAAAGATTCACAATATAGTACAATAAAATATTTATAATTCTTTTCATAAATTCATTGAAAGAAAAATTAAATAAAATCTACAAAGAGAATTTGTAGCTAAAAGCTCATTTATATTTCATAAATCTATAAACTAGCTGACCACAAGAGATTTTAAGTGAATTTCTTAGCGAATTTTTACTTCTTTTCAAGTTTTAAAGTGGTTTTTATTCCTAGCAAAAGTTTAGAAAATCGTATAAATCTTAATTGAGTGGAAGTCTTGATTTATTTACGTTATAAACATTAATTAAAAGATAAATGTTTTGCTCGTTGGCAGACAAAGTGTAATTGAATGTATGGCTAACTTCCAAATAGTTTAATCTGTGTTTTTAAATACACAATTAAAATATAAAATGATAGTGAGTTACTTAAAGAAAAAAAAAACTAAGAAAACGTTTCATAGTAAAATAATTTAAATTAACTTATAAACTGGCTTGCATAATTAAATTTCTTTAGTGCTTATGTAATTAAACTGTAAATTATAATATACAATCATTGCTAATACTCGATTTTTATAAGGATTATAATTGGTTTTTATTGATTTTTAACTCCATTATGAGAATATTTACCGATGCACCGACTGTATTTTATAGTCTAACAAAGAAAAATTGTCAATAAAATGGTATGCACACGCATAAGAAAATCGATAATTTAATACAACACAATAGCATTTGTTTAATTTGAAATGGAAATAAAAATTTAAAAAAAAAATACCAAATAAAAGATGAAAGTCTACGTAAATATTTAGCATTTGGTTGACCGAAACACTTCAAAAAAATTAAGTTATCTGGTAGGATAAAATTTAATTGCTACAAAATCAGCTACATTCTCGGGTTGAAACTACTTTCAATTCTTTTTAATGACCTAAATTAAATGTATAGTTTTAAGTTTAAAAAAATGTTAACGTTTTTTATTTATAAGAACGTTTTCGGCAATAACAGATATTTATGATTATTTCTAATTCTACTTAAAGTTGGTTATAGATATGGAGATTTTATTTGCTGACATTATAAATTCGTTGTTTTAATTTTAATTGTCAGATATATTCGTAGAAAAAATTTCATTTCTTTCATTTAACGATTAATTTTTTCTTTCTTTCATTTACGTGTTTAATTAATTGTGTTATTTTTGTTAAATATTGCTATAATTTATTTTTATTGCATTATTTACGCAACTGTTATATAATTGCATCAATATATTGTAACACATAGTAACTGTTATGGGTATCTCTAAATGATTTTATTTTGTAAACCGTGAAAAAATTAATATCTAAAACATAGATAAAAAGACTGAGAGAGATAAAAGGGGGGTTCGAGCCGTAATGGATGCTCTCCGAATGTCATAAAAATGTATGAATAAAATATTTGAAATAAAAATAGATTTTGCTTTTTACATAAAATACGAAATTTTAGACCCTTTGTGTGAAGGTTTCTAGCTAAATAATCCTCCTGGCACATTCCCCAATATTTGGGTCTAACAAGATGTATATTTTATTTAAACTTGTATAGCATAAATAATTACAAAAATTGACAATTTTAAGGATTGATTCACAGCCTACGCAAATTACTGGAGATTTATAAAATGATCGCGAATATTGCGCCATTGATGATGCCACATCTGATGGTAATCGAATATGTTAATACGACAATCATTATGAGATTTCTTACGCAATTTTATTATCATTTTTTGCATTAACTAGTGATTTACATTCATCGTGAAAACCATAAAGTTAAAGAATAATTTCGCATATCGTACAATATAATATATATAGCCTATATATTATGCAATATAAAGTATGAAATTAAAAACTGAAAAAAATCCATATTTAACCATTAAGTCCATTAATGTGCAAAGTAGAGTGCTATAAAAGAGTTTGTATGAGCAGCTCGGTAATCTCTAATTTCAGTTCTGATCAAATTGGTGAGAATGGATTTCTGTAATACCATAAAAACAACATTCGAATGAGCTGAAAGCCATAAAAAATAGTCAAATATCAGGAGCTTAATATCCTCTCAAATTGTGCAAAAATTTAATCAGACAAGGCAGTTTAGTCGTAGATTAACATCTCAGAGTGATTATTATTGATGAAGAACTGTTTAAGGAAGAGGTCTTTCGAACTCTCAAAGTTTACGTGAAGAACAGTTCAGTTTTGTAGCTTGCGATTTATATGAGAAATGTCTATATTAAAATTAGATTAAGTAAATCAGATAGATTTCTTTATTCATCCATTAAATATTTTTATACTAGGAATCTTTTAAATAAAATAAATAAAAGGTTTTTATAACCATCAATAATTCTTTTTTCATAATAGATGAGCTAAAGTTTTCTTAATCAATACTTCCAAATTCCCTTTTATTCTCAATACTTTATTTCATTATTAATCAGAAAATTGCATTTGCTTCTAAGTAAGCATTTTTTTCTTTTGTAAAGATAATGTAGGAAAATATCACATCGAGTAGATGCAAAGATTTTCGAACAATCTTCTTTTAGTGACACTCTGCATGACCATAGAGCAATACT